TAAAAAGGTTTAAAAAAAAGCTTTTATTTTGGGTTAAACGTTGCAAAATGGCGGCTGGAGGAGACTTTCTCCAGTAATTTCAGGGAAAATAAAACTAGGGGAAAAGATGTTATGGTATAAACCTGGTAAAAAAATACTGAAAAGTTGGTTTAAAAAGACCGAAGCAAAACATTATGACTATTTATTAGAAAATTTTTCGGTCCTGGGACCTTGATCACTTCTAATTTCCAGGTGAAAGCATTATTTATAGGCGGGAGTGAGGTGTGAGTGCCCATGACCTAAAGAATGTTATGTTGGGTTGAGGACGGGTAGACATGAGATCATGTGATTGTGTTGTTGGGTGGTTTGGTGTTTAAGTACCCCCAATCCAACAACCAGGAGTCACAGGTTAGTGGGTTTAGCGCACCCCCAAAAAAGGAGTCCGGGTTTGGTGGTGTTAAAGCAGCCCCAACCAAAACCAGGGAAATGGTGGTGCTTAAGCAGCAAAAACCAACAAAAGGGTCATGATTATCGTTTTCCCGTCCTAAAAACCCAACAAAAACATTTTTTTAGTATGGTCACTCACCCTCACCTCCCCTTATTTTAAGTCTTTCTTTCTGTTGTTAGGTGATCAAGGCCCCCCGGACCGAAACGTTTTTAATAAATATGTTAGTGTTTGCTTACGTGTTTTTCTAAAAAAAAAGATGTTGTGCATTAGACATTAACATGAAATAGTCCCGTAATATTCCAAATACGTATATTAAGTGATGAAAATTTTTAAGAGATTGAAAAAGGGCGTTCTTGGTAATAAAAAAAATTTATGAAAAAAGAAAAGTGTTTCGACAGTTTTTGAAAAAAAAAGGAAAGCCTCGTCTCGTTAATTTAAATACTGTTACCTAAATCCCGGGGTTTTTTTTTTTTTTTAGTTTGCTTTTTACATTTAATGCTGTTTAAAAAATTTTACAATCCTGAAGGAAAAAAAAAAACAGTTTTATTTTGAAAAACCTGTTTGTTAAAATTGGCAAAAAAATTAGAAAAATTGTTAAGACCAAATTCTTAAGAAAAGGCATTTAGGGTTTAAAACCCGATCAGGGGGTTCATTCGTTTGTTATTACATGGTGAAAATTTTACTTAAAAAAAATTGACATTGAATTTTTCACATGTCAAAGTGACGAGATTGTTTTAAAAAAAGTCCCAAGTGGAAAAGTTTGAAGCGATCAGAAAAGGTTTTCACGAGAAATTTGGATGTGTTTCAGCGTTTCCAATTTTTTAATATTTCAGTGGACCTTGCGGGTTTAGTTTTGGTTTGTTTATAAAACTATTTCAGTAAAATTTTAAATTTCCAGCTATTTTGACTTCTTATGGGTTTATCCTTATTATAGAATGTACCAATTAAATTTTTAAAAGACAGAGCAATCACTATTTATTCAAAAAATTTTGTTAAATTGGGGATTATGGCAGAAGTGACGTGTAGTTCAGGGAACCACCCCAGTGGTTTCCCACTGGTGTGGTTCCAAAAATTTTAAAGCCGATCAGACTTGTATTTGGGTTAGTTCGCATTCCAGCCTTCCGGTTTATTTTTTGTTTTATTCCCTAAAAAACGTTGCCAGCAGCCAGGGTATTAATGTGTGTCATTTGGCCCAGGATGCATCCCTCATTAAAAAAGTTCAGAAGAGTCAAACCCAAATTTTTTTTAACTTTAGTTTAAAGGAAATGAAGATTTAAACTCTTTACACATTAAATTTGAATTTCATCGCACCGCCCTATTATTGGGGGAAAATTTTGTCAAGGTTTGAAAGTTTAGCACCCCGGGGTTGGAAATTATCCCCCCCCTTCCAAAATATGGAAAGGCTTCTTTTTCATCATAAGAATGTGAAAATCAAAATTGGTCTAAAAATTTTTTCCCCGTTGACGTACAAAGTATTTAAAAAAAATGAAGCCCCCATGGATGAGGCGTTTCGGTTGTGAGCAAAATAAAACGTAAATGGGGGAAGAAAAAAAGAATGGTTACCCTTTGACAAAATTGATCCGAAGGATTAGAAAATAATGGGTTTTTGAACCGCAATGAGTGTTTAACACTGGGCGCTGCCTTTTAGATCTAAAAAAATAAAACAATTGTCAGGGCATCACACTCTGATTTCCAGAGTTTCTTTTTTTTTTTCCTTTTTTGTTACATTCTTGAAAGGGGGGATGATTCCACCAGGTTTTAAGGAAAATAACATAAAAGAACTCTTGTAAAAAAAGTTGAAAACCCCTTTCAGAATTAAGAAAAATTGTGAATTGCTTGGAACCAAAAGAAACAAAAAGCAATTCAAAAAACTAGGAAAAAACCAAATTACTTTCTTACTAAGCAAAAATTGTAAATAATAAATTAGTTTTGGGTCTCTGTGATGGTAGTCAGAGGCCAATTGTATGCTGATAGTGGGGAGAAGATGAAAAAGGTGACGCCTTTGGTATAACTGTGGGGTTTGTTGACATGTATGGTAGCTGGAGACATGGTTTAGTTAGGGGCTGATGGGTGGGTTTGGGGAAAGATTGTTAAGAAAAAGGGTTTGGGGGAGGGATGGGTGTCTGAGGGTGTTAAATGTTGTGGTTGTAAAAAGGGAATTTTTTTAAAAAAAATTTTTGGCCCCGGGTTTTTTTCCCCAAAAAAAAGGGGGGGGGGGGGGAAAAAAAAAATTTAAAAAAAAGGGGTTTTTTTTTTAATAAAAATTTTTTAAAAAATTTGGGGGTTGGGGAAATTTTAAAAAAAAAAAAAAAAAACCCGGGGGGGGGGTTTTTCTAAATTTTAAAAATTTTGGGGGAAAAAAAAAAAAAAAACCCGGGGGGGGTTTTTAAAAAAGGGCGGGCCCGGGGAAAAAAAAAAATTTTTGGGGTTTTTCCCCCGGGGTTTCCTTTTCCCCCTTTTTTTTTTTTTTTTTTCCTTTTGGGGGAAAACCCCCCGGGTTTTTGGGAAAAAAAATAAAAAAAAAAAAAAAACCCCCTTTTTTTTAAAAAAAAGGGGGGAAAAAAAAAACCCCAAAAAAAAAAAAAATTTAATTTTTTTTAAAAAAAAAAAAAATTTTAAAAAAATTTAACCCCCCCCGGGGGGTTTTTTTTTTTTCCCCAATTTTGGGGGGGAAAAACCCCAAATTTTAAAATTGGGGTTTTTTAATTTTTAAAGGGGCCCCTTTTTTTTTTTTTGGGTTTTTTTTGGGGAAAAAAAACCCCCCCTTTGGGGTTTTTTTTGGGGGTTTTTTGGGAAAAATTTTTTTTTAGTTTTTTTTTTTTTTTTTAAAAAAATTTTTTGGGGGAAAATTTTTGGGGGTTTTTTTCCCCCCCCTTTTTTTTTTCCTTTTTTTTCCCTTTTTTTTTTTTTTTTTCCCCGGGCCCCCCGGCATTTTTTTCCCTTTTTAAATTTGGGTTTTAATTCGGGTTTCCCGTTTTTTTTTTCCCCCTTTTCCCCCCTTTTTTTTTTTTTCCCCCCCCCGGGTTCTTTTTTTTTTTTAAAAAAACCCCCCTTCCCCCTTTTTTTTTTTTTTTTAAAATTTTTTTTTTTTCCCCCCAATTTTTTTTTTTTTTCCCCCCAAAACCCCCCCCCCTAACCCTCCCCCCCCCTTTTTTTTCCCCCCAAAATTTTTTTTTTTTTTCCCCCCCCCCTTTTTCCCCCCCCCCCCCCCTTTTTTTCCTTTTCCTTTTTAAAGCCCCTTTTTTCCCCCAAGGGGCCCCCCCTTTGGTTTTTTCCCCCTCTTTTTTGGGTTTCCTTTTTAAAAATTTTTTTCCCCCTTTTTTTCCCCCCCTTTTTTCCCTTTTCCCCCCCCCCCTTTTTTTTTCCCCCTTTTTTTTTCCCCCCCCCAAACCCCCCCCCCCCCCCTTTTTTTTTTTTTTCCCCCCCCCCCTTTTCCCCCTTTTCCCCTATTTTTTTTTTTTTTCCCCCCCCCCTTTTTCCCCCCCCTTTTCCCCCCCCCCCCTTTTCCCCCAAAAAAAATTTTTCCCCCCCTTTTTTTTTTTCCCATTTCCCCCCCCAAAAAAACCCCCCCCCCCTTTTCCCCCCTTTTATTTTTTTCCCCCCCCGCCCCCCCCCCCTTTCCCCCCCAAATTTTCCCTTCCCCCCCCCCCTTTTTTTTTTCCCCCCCCCGGGGGTTTTTTTTTTTTTTTT